GCCTCCCGCGCCTTTTGGTCCGCAGGGAAGCGGAGAGAGTGGGCTGTGGGTCGTGTGCTGGGGCCTCGCTCCTGCTGCCGTGGCCGGTTGGTGCTTGTCTCCCGGCCTCGGGGTTCGGTGAAGTGGAAAGTGAGGGTAACGATCCTCCATAGCAGTCTGATATAAAGATAAAATTCTCATAAACCCCAGACCTTAAACAGCCTTAGGCAGGTAGATGGTGTTTGGTAAGTGCTGTGGTGAGTGATTGCAGGAGCAGAGTTCTCTGAAGTTCTTCACTCTGTAAGACTTGGAGGACCGCTGCTTTTTGTTCGTGTTTTTTTTTTTTCTTTCCATAAGTAGTCTGTCACTAATTTGACTAAAGTAGTTAATGCGTTAAGCATATTTGATGGGTTTTCTTCTGAAGAGGTGGTCTGAAAATATTCTCATTTCCTGTGGCGTTTTCAGGAGGCCTGTGTCACAAGATAGCAAAAAGCATCATGTCACTCTAGCAAGAACTGCCACTTTTTGTAGTGGAAAACAAGAATAGCTAGAGGAAGAGAAGGAAATGAGAGTAAGCAGGTAGCAGGTGAAAATATTTATCCTTTTGTATGATGGACTGAATAATCATTTCAAATCTTTGCATTTGGCCTTCAGAGTAAACTCACAGTCAGCTTGAGGTATATGGGTTTTTTATATGGGTGCCCGTGTTACATACGTATGTGAGGCATTTGTAAAAGGCCATTCAGGATTGTCAATCTCCCCTTTCAGTTTGGTTTCCCATTTGAGTCAAGTTTAGTCTTTGCAAATGATTTGTGCATGGATTTGCGCCTCAGCCTTACAAACATCCCTGGAGCAGATTTTTAATTATGCAAGATTTGAGTATTGGTTTCAACATCATAGTAATGATGCGTGAGGCCGTTTTGTAGAACAGATGAGCCAGCTATTATTGGTGCTGTTTGCTTATGCTGTACTTTATTGGGATCTTGTTGGTTGATGTAAATTGGTGAGCAAGACTACGGACAGGTAAACCCCCAAAAGGGAAGGGGGTGAAACATGAGAGGCAGGACTCTAGGTGGATTTTTACTTTTTGCAAAATATGTTGGGATCTCAGTTACTCATTAACATTCATTTAATTAAAGAGGATACTGAAGAGGATACTGTTGCTGTCTCTTTTAATTATATAGATGCCATAGTTAAAGTAAAAATTGTGTCATTAAAACTCACTGCCTTTGCAAGTGTGCTTAAATAGAAACAATATCTATGGCACTGATAGTCAACATGAAACAAATCCAAAGTGGGACAAATTTCAGTCTATCTTACTAATTAGAAACTCCAGAGAAAAAATGGAAATCTTTGCTTCCTCATTACTTCTGTAGGGGGTGAACTGTGCTGCTGGTGGTAAGAGAGATGGGCAGAATTGATTATGATATCCTGAGCAACAACATGTCCATTAAAGTATGTCTTGCTGCTGTTTTTGTGTTACTGTAATTTTAATTATTCCAATTAAAGCTGTGAAGTTAATATATCACTGCGGTAAGTATGAGAATGCATGTGGGAGGGTTACTAGAGTGCAGTAATTTAGGCTTATTGCACAGTGTTATTCTGTAATAAGTATTGCAGTTTAAATTAACTTCCACCCTAATCGAAGTTAATTTTACAGAGTGGACAAACCCTCTGACCTTGCACTTTTGTCTCTTTTTTTAAAAAATTCATTTTCTGTTGAGAGTGTACTTTGATAATGAGTATTTATTTTTAAACGAGCCTTGACTCTCCAATACACTTTGAATTGTTCTATTTGCAATTATGTAGGGCAAGACTATTCAGCTTTTTCAACCAGGAACAGGTTTCTGGGGCTGGAAGAAGTTCTCAACAGCAAAAACAAACTCCTATTGTCCTGAAAGGGCGAGAGATCATCTTTTGGCTGTACCTGGTTCATGGTTTGCTGGATGTGTGATTCTGTTCTAGCAGTTTGGTTTCAATAACCTAGACAATAACAGTTACATGTAGTTGAAGAAATCGAATGTTTTGTGCTTGGTGTACGCTAGCTGTTGTTTTATGAATGAGGCATATAAGACAGGACTTATATGAGGTATAGTCAAAAAGAGCTGATGCGGAATATAGTTTTACATATGTGTATCTTATAGGATAGATTTTCTGATCTGTATTTATAACAAAACTACTTGTGGGTTTTAGGTTCTACCACAATGGAGCTGAGTGATGCCAATTTACAAACGTTAACTGAGTATTTAAAGAAAACACTAGATCCAGATCCTGCTATAAGGCGCCCTGGTAAGCGATTCTCATGAGTGACCAAAAAAGTTTAGTTTCTTTTTGGCTCTTCTGTCTGTATATAGCAAACTTCAGTGGATGTTTATGCAATAACCTCTTTGCAGAAGTTCTCAGTATCCTTTTAAAACAAACAAAAAACCCCAAAAACTAATGAAGAGTGGATATAAATACTAATTTATTTTGTTTGGTTTTTGTAATTTTATTTTCCTGTATTCCTGATTTTTTTTTTTTGCACTGTTGTTATTTAAAACAGTGCTGCTGTTCACAATAAACCAGGATTTCTATCAGTTTTTGGCTTTTAAAAATGGTGAGGAGGCAATATTTCAACATCCTGCTTTGAACTTTTGTTAATAGCAGAAGCGTTAAAGAGCTTAGTAGTGAAGAAGCAACAGTTCCTTTTGTCTGTGTTTCTGTTTTTGTGAAACTCTTGGGAAGCGTTCATGTGTTTATTATTTTAAATAGACACTTGAGGAATTGTAAGAGTTCCATTAGAAAAATCAGTTCAGCTCTTGCTAACCTTAGTATATATTGTCTTACAGCGGAAAAGTTTCTTGAGTCAGTTGAAGGAAGCCAGAATTATCCATTGTTACTCTTAACGCTGCTGGAGAAATCACAGGAAAATGTCATCAAAGTTTGTGCATCTGTAACATTCAAGAATTATATTAAAAGGAACTGGAGAATTGTAGGTATCCTAATGGGTAGTTGTGCTAAGATTTAATAATCCTTTTAAGGTACAATAAGACATTCTACAGTAACCTTGAAGAATGTGTGTATATCTGTACTTTGTGAAAGTAGATCATTCAGACCACAAACACAAGGTGTAATTTACTGATGAGGGTCTAAAACCTGGCCCGCTGGAGTCCATTCTATTAAAAAGAACTAGAGCTGAGTGATAAAATAAAACAAAAAATTTTCCCTAATATTATATGCGTATTTTGCAGAAACACAATGTTTAAAGCTAATTTAACTAACAGTGATATTGTTTAAACTAAAGTGATTGTGAAGTATCTATACACGTGAGCTGACCAATTTAGCCTGTATCTATTGTCATAGTGCTACAAACATTTCCAGCCAGCACCACAGCTGAAAGTGATGATACTAGCTTCTCTTTCATGTAAATGCTGCTGGGGCATAGAATACTGTGTGACAGTTTATTTTGGTGGCCTTGCCACTTTAGCACTTAGAAGTATTTTTAGGCATCAAATAGAAATATTGCCATTTAATGCCATTTTATCCTTTGTTTTGAGGAGGTTAGAAACATTTTTGATTCAGAGCTTTCAGCATTTGTGAAATTTAATTTATGGTAGAAATTACTACATTTGATGAGCTCAGCTCCTTCAGCGATGAGAGGTTTTAATTGATTTATACAATTGTTTATACTTTGTCTCACTGAAAGTACTATTTGTATCTGAAAAACATCAAATGTGTAATATTGCTTTACTACGGGGAAACTGGTAAGTATTTCATCGTTACATCTTAGGTGGTACCTATTTGCAAATTTGCATGTTATTTCTCCCCTCCCCCCCTAATATTAAGATGCTATAGCAGATAGCCTAGATCTGGTTATGTTTGATAAGATCAGTGCGTTCGGTCTGGCATAAAACTTCTAGAACTTTGTAATACTGTATTCTTAGTAATTTCTCCCAAATTGCATCTTTATCTGTAGTATATTGTAAGTAAAAATAATGTTCTGTGTTACGGAAAATTTGTAAGTGGCTTCTTTTTTATGGATTGCGATACAATTCAGGATGAGACCTTGTTTTGGAGTAGGTGGAGATGCTATGCAGCAAGTGCATCCAGAGGACTGTTACAATTGCTTTGTGGCTTCAAGCACATTGTTTTGTCCAAAATTGAAGCTTTCGTTTCAAGACCAGCTGTATGAACCTAAAATACAGCCCTAAGGCTAGCTTACCGGGATTGCAGGGTTTAATCCAGCAGCCTTGGACCGGACTGATACAAAGCACAGTGGAAGTAAAAGGGTTTTGCCTACTCAAGGAGTTTGAGTTGTTAGAGGCTGGAGAGCTAGATATACAGGGGATATCATCTCTCTGGAGAGAGGGAAGAGTTTGCTTTTTTTAAATTTATTTTTAAAGTATCTGCAGAATGCTCACCTATGTGCTGCCTCTCATGTCTTGTAAAAAGGTCTCATTTCTTTGTAAAAAAATCTCAGAAGTAACTCCATAGTAGGATTTGTTGTTGCTGATCTCTCCACCATCTTTGTCCTCATCTGTCTTAAGTGCATGGCAGTGAGTCCTGCCTCCCTGCTTGGAGCTTGCCTAGTACAGTTATTGCTGCCTTTCACATCATATAAACTTGTAAAGCTCAGGTTTTAAGATCAGCTTCTTTTTATGGTTTTTAATGTATATATAATGGTTCCATATATTCTCCTGATTCAGTGCAATGTGATAGAAGCAGAAAAGCAAGTTATTCGTGTCCTATTTTTGTAACTGCTTGTTTATAGCTAAACATAACTTGAAATTTTGAAATTAATAAACTTTTTTTTAAGTTTATGGGAAGATGGTGAAAGGGAGGTAAGAAGAAGGGTAGTAGTGCCATTTGGTTTAAGCATCTTAAGGTCATTGAATTACTCTCTGGTGGTGCTTACCTCTTAATTGCTGGATCATTTCTTGGTTTCTGAACTTTGGTGCTGTCATCACAGATAATGTGACTATCAGTGCTGTCACTGGTTGGTGACAAACCTCCTTATGTTATTTCTTTAGTAGAAATTTTGTGATTTACTACCGCTTGGCACTATTGACTGACTGGATATTGAACTGATTGGTATTTTGAACTGGTATTAGATAACTCTTAAAGGCAATGTTACTGTCTTGATGGTGTAACCTGCACCCATGTTCATGTACAGTTTCTAGAAAGTATGACTTGAGGCAGCTTGCACAAGATAAATCTTTGAGGTTGGCAGAAGTGAGGACAGAGATGTGGTTTGGTGTGGTCAAAGAGGAGACTGTTGGTTAAAGTCACCTATATTACTGGCATATGCACCCACCCTTACTATGACTGAATTGCTGATTTGAAAAGTCACTGTTAAATAAGGAGATACTAGTTCAGGATTTCACGGGAAGATGTAATTTCAGCTTTTTTCAGGTACTACTGTTACGGATTCATTGTAGACAATATCTTTAACAGATCTTCTTAGTTTCTTTAACTATGTAATAGTTACATAAAGCAGTTTAAGCAATTGGTTTCTGAAATGCTGATACTTGCTCATTGCCTAGAGTATACTGATATGCCCATGACTTAATTACTGTTTTAATTTTAGGTTGAAGATGAACCGAACAAAATATGTGAATCAGACAGGATAGCCATTAAAGCCAACATAGTGCCCTTGATGCTTAGCAGCCCAGAACAAATTCAAAAGCAGGTAATGTGTCAATTCCTGGTTATGTCCGTGAGACTTTTGTAATATTTTCAGTGTGTCTAGAGGCTCTGGTTCTTGGCAAAGCTCAGTTCCCTTACCAATGAGGTCATCCCAGTCCAAGTAACTTGGAGTATATTGTCACAGCTACTTCTGCCTACTCTATTGTTTTTATTATTTTTAAAAAGGCAATTACTGTATAATCTTGTAGCTAAATTCTAGCATTAGGCAGTTAAATATAGTAATTCCAGAAAGTGATATTGCGTGTGCACATTGGATTTAGAGTGAGATGTATTTATTTCTGTAGAAAACTACTAGATATTTATCCCAATGATTTTTGAAGCTGACAAGAATTATAAGCACTTTTCTTAGATATTTGCAACATCTGGCATGACTGCTGTGTTTTTTATGTAGTGAGGAGCCTGCTGTTATATCATGTAATAGTTGTGTTTCCTTTCCAGTTAAGTGATGCTATTAGTATTATTGGTCGGGAAGACTTTCCTCAGAAATGGCCAGACTTACTGACAGAAATGGTGAATCGCTTTCAAAGTGGAGATTTCCATGTCATTAACGGGGTCCTTCGCACTGCTCACTCTTTATTTAAAAGGTATTGGAAATAAGAGAGTTAGTATATGGATGGCAAATTTCTGTTCAAGTCTAAATTTTTACCATAAGACTTAATTTTGTAGATTTACAAAGTCTACAGTTGTGGCTTCTACTTACACTTATTGACTTTTTAATAAGAATTTAAGTGGTTGTCAAATTGTACACTTTGCATGGTATTGAACTATGTTGTTTAGTTCTTGTTTACTTGACCATATTTATTTCAAGGTTCAGCACAAAAAATTAATTGTATGCAAGTTAATTTGGTAATAAATTTGAAGACTGTATTCTATTCTTCACGTGTTTCTCTTTCACTTGTCAGGTACCGCCATGAATTTAAGTCAAATGAATTATGGACAGAGATCAAACTTGTCCTTGATGCCTTTGCTTTGCCCTTGACAAATCTCTTTAAGGTATTTCCTTTTGAATCATTTCTAAAACAAGTTTAGCATTCTGAATTACTTGTTGTGAATGCTTGCAAAATGAAAACTTAAGAATAGTTGCTTTGCAACTGTTAATGAGCTTCAAAACAAAGTCATGAAGTGAGACCTGATGGGATTGATATGGGGAGGAAAAGGAACTATATTTTCTAGTTTTTAAAAAGCAAAAGTTACATGACACTTTTCAATACCTCTTGTCAATGTGGTTTGTGTGTGTTACTTGACTGAATCCTATGTCTTTTTCTAGGCAACTATTGAACTTTGCAGCACACATGCAAATGATGCTAGTGCTTTGAAGGTTCTCTTTTCTTCTCTCATTCTAATTGCGAAGCTGTTCTACAGTTTAAATTTTCAGGTGAATCTCCTTGTTCTTCTAAATGGATTTGCTTTGGTCTCACAAAGCTGTTATGCTCTTATTTATAGGATCCATTTGAGGCAGCCTTTAAGGCCATGCTTTATTGCAAAAATAAAAGTTGACAGTCTGCATCAACACTGGAGTAAAGGCACAGTAAGGATGGGGTTAATTAACATGTTAGCTTGGCCCTATCTAAATAAAATTTCAAGAGAGTTTAAGCTCTTGTCATAGCAAGGAGGCGTTGTATGGGTAGCTCTCTGAACATGAGCTGTGAAAGACAAAAATCAAACGCCTGAGTTTGTATTCGCTGTGGTCCTTTATAAATAAGTCTGTATTGACATGAACTCAGTCATGTAGATGAAAGGCAGTTAAAACTAGTAGCTCTATAGCGCTAGAGTAGCAAATAATTCTGGCATCAGTGTGGGGGTTTTTGTTTGGAAATCAGATCTAAATTTCTAACATTATTAAATAAATGCACTATATGAAAAATGGTTAAAAGATACTTTGCTGAGGTGACATATTTAGTGTCTCAACATGAACATAAGTCTGTGAAGTGTGATGATCATGCCTTGATTGCTTGGGCTTTTCTTCCATATTGGGCAGAAGAGCAAGCTGGAGTTAAAAGGGAAGCTTGCGCTCTCCTGCTCTGAGAGTAAGAGGCAGTAAGGTTCTTTCTAAAACTGTAGGCTGTATAGGATGTAAGCAACTAGTTTATTTAGAAGCGGTGTATTCCAAAGCCTCTGTTTGGAGGGTTTTCATTTGGGAGCAGGAGGGGGTAGTGTTTCATTTTGAAGATTGTTTTCCACATTTTGTTGTCCCTCAGTAGATTATAAGGTGCATACATACTACTTACAAAGCAGGTATGTTATCTAAGCAGTGCAATTAAAAGGTAGATTTATGCTTTTCCTTCACAGGATCTTCCTGAGTTTTTTGAAGATAACATGGAAACATGGATGACAAATTTCCATAGTCTTTTAACTTTAGATAATAAACTTCTGCAGACTGATGTAAGTACTGCGTAAACCACCTGGTTTGCCTCTGTGTAGTGGAGAGGGTTGACTGAGAACTTGTATCTAACTCTGAATAATCCAATGTTTTCTTTGTTGGGTAAACAGGGGAATAGAATGACTATAGGGAAATGAGGCTTAAGAGAAGTTGCTCTGTTGTCTAAGAAATTTGAGGTCCAGTTCTTGAAGTTGTATCTCAGTTACAGCATACCCAACTGTGCACAGAAATCAAATTACAGATAATCATCAATGAGTAGATTCTTTTGAGGACATCTGCTAAAGTAACCCGATCATTAGAGAGTCACAGTGCTCAGGTTTTTTCTATACCTTTTAGCTGGTTTTAGAAAACAGGGTATCTTGAAGAACTTGAAGCAGCTGAACATAGAAGGCACGACATCCCTAAATAATTCAGTTTAATTTGCTGTCTTTGTCTAATTGTAAGAATTAGTAGTTTCACAGGTGAAAGGTGAAACCAAGGCATCAAAGTTCAAATTAATTTAGTGCATGCTTCCACATTTTAAATGATGATGTCTTCCAGATACAGTACAATAGTTTGCCACATGATGGAGCCAAAGCAGCTCTATAAATAATTTTACAAAACATAGGGAGACCTATTAAGTTTATCCTGTGCTATATTTTCACAGTTGTTTTAGGCTAACACTGCTGCTAAAAGAAGCTTTGCCACTCTTTTCTCTTGTGCCTGTAGGCTATTGTGCAGCACAGACATTCATGCAGCTGTGTGCTGAACTGAGTCAGGAAGTGATAGGCATTAAAACTGAAAGGTGGGGACTGGGGAGGGGAGAGTTGGACCTGGCGTGGTGTTTGGTTGTTAGGGTTTTTTTAATTGCAGCTCAGTTTCACAATTCACTTTGCTTTGTGGCACCGCAAGCATTTGTGCTGGTATGGGGAAGGGGAGGTAACTTATTTACAACTATTCCAATTTAAAGCAGCGAGATACGATGTCTTCTAAGCATATTTTTTCAATACCTTGTGTTGTGTTTTTCCTATTACATTTGTGAATTAATTTCATGTCAAACTTTATTAGGTCTAAAATATTTAAAGTGCATACTACTTTTATTTGAATGTAGGTATGATTTATAACTTGCAGGGCAGTTCCAGTGCAAATCAGCAAAATACAGTAGTTCTAGGGATGTGAGAGGGATTTCTGTTCCCTATTTAGAATAATAGTGTAAATATTTCCTTCAAATATGTTGATACTCTTAATACTTAAACATCCAAACTTCAACGCTATTTAAGTTCTTAGTTTTGTTTTATGTGAGGATGAAGAGGAAGCTGGATTACTGGAGCTCTTGAAATCACAAATTTGTGATAATGCTGCTTTATATGCTCAAAAATACGATGAAGAATTCCAGCCCTACCTGCCACGTTTTGTAACCGCAATTTGGAATCTGCTAGTCACAACAGGCCAAGAAGTGAAATATGACTTGGTAAGTTGTTATAAACTGATCTTGTCAAGTTTAATAATGAATTATAAATTGTTCAGTCATGCTAAAACCATATGTGTTCTGTTTGTGGTGTTCTAGCTGGTTAGTAATGCAATCCAGTTTCTGGCCTCGGTTTGTGAGAGACCACATTACAAACATCTGTTTGAAGACCAGAATACATTGACAAGTATCTGTGAAAAAGTTATTGTGCCCAACATGGAATTTAGAGGTAAATTTTTGACATTTAAGAGATTTTTCAAAGACAGAGTAAAATCTAACTAATTGTAATGATAATGTGGCTTTGCATGACTAAATTGAGGATTACCTCTTGTATACTTTAGTACTAGATTCAAAACCAAGTTTCTAGAACAGATTGCTGTCCTGTGGGCTTTGTAGAATTGTATGAATATATCCAATAATTTTTCTGTCTTACTGGGATCTCAAATAGAAAAGTATAGGAAGTCTAGTTCCTGTGCCACCAATAACTTTTCATGCTTAAAGTGAGTGTCAGAATAATTCAAGGAGTCTGAATAGGCATGGCTATCAGGCTTCCTAAATTGTAATGTCTATTTCTCCAAGTTTTGATGGTCTCACCTTGATCCTAGTATCTAAAATGCAGTGAAGATGTATTGCAGTGATAAGAAGATTCTCTCTCTTAAGTCTTAGACTTTGGAAGCCTCTTTAAATACACTTACTGTTGAACGTGTCCTATCTTTTTTTTCCTTTCTTTTTTTAAAGCAGGAATACATTGGCTTATGAGTATGAAAGACTAATTTCCGGGGTAGCAGCAAGCTAAACAGGCTAGTCTGGCTGCATATTTCTGATTAATTTCTATTAATGTTATAGAAAAGTACTTGGAAAAGAGAGCAAGTTGATAATAATACACCTTTTTACCATAAAAAACAGAGACCTTAGTATTTAAATTTCTATGTGGTTTATATTTGCAGCGGCTGATGAAGAAGCATTTGAAGATAATTCTGAAGAATATATAAGAAGGGATTTGGAAGGATCTGGTAATCCACAGATTTATACTAAGAATACTTGGTCTTTAAGTATAGCTTTAAAGTGCTGAAGCAATTTACTGAAGCTTTTATATCTTATTTTTTTAAATTGAGAATGTTTCCAAGAGATTTTATCGAGTTTTTGATCAAGTTTACTGTCATGATGTGCCCATCACAGTGTCTTTTTGTTTTGAACAATGTGTTTTGTAGGGCTTTTTCCTTAATTGGATTGGTATGTCTCCTGCACTGCACACATTCTCATTTCAGCAAATATAGCCTGTAAGTCAGTGCTGAATAGTGGCCACAGTTCTGTATTTGGTTCCTATGTCTAGAGGTTTAAATAACATGGAGAGACTGTGCCTGTATTTAGTGCTCTATGATGTTTAAAATGAAATTTTGACCGGTGTTGCATACAAATCTCTGATCAAGCCAGCTGGACACCAGCCAGCCCTTGTATGCCGGCACTGTGTTCAGACCAATACGGTAACTGTCCTGAAAACACAGTGCTGTGCTAACATGGCTACTTGATTTTCTGATTGTAGCTGTCTGGTCTTCAGCCAGGTCAGAGCACAAATGAACCAAATCTAGATCTGTGTGGCAATTCTGTATATGCTGTTCTGTGCCACTAACAGTTTACTGACTGACGCTTTTAGATTAATGACACTTCATAATAGATTTAGGAAATCATTGTATGCTTGCAGTGGAGGACAAAAATTGGAGGAAAATGTTTTTGAATTTTTTTCAAGCGAACGTTTTATCATTCTTAGCCAGGATTGGCTGCATTTTATGTATTTGTGAAGCTTTTATTTGTTAGCTACTTCTGCTTTTAAGAGAATTGAGTATTTGTGTTCTTCAGAGATTACTTTAAAAATGTACTCTATTGCATTTAAATTAACTTGCTTTATTTTCCTTCTGTTACTTCTGTTAGTATACTGTATTAAAGGCCAGCTGACTTTTTCTTCCTGGTCTTGAAACAAGGGATTTTTACAGTTTGGTTTTGGGGCTTGGTTTTTTTTTTGTGGTTTTGATTTTGTTTTGTTTTTACTAAAATGTACTGATTCAGTGTGGTGGGCCAGCAGCTAAGCACCACACAGCAGCTTGCTCATTCCCCACCCTGCTGCATGGGATGAGGGAGAGGATAGGAAGAGTACAAGTGAGAAGACCTGTGGATAGAGGTGAAGACAGTTTAAGTGAAAGACAGAGGAAGAAAAGAGAAGGGCGGGGGGGGGCGGGGTAGTAGTCAATGACTTGCCACCTCCCACAAATACTGAAACTTTCTTTAGAGGTCAGTAAAACCTGTGAATACACATGCGGCATTAGTGCATGTCCGTTCCTCTTTATGGTGCACAAATAGTCCCTATTTTGACAGTAAGTAAGGTACTTAAATGTGTCCTTACACATCAATGTGGAGAATTGCAATAATTAACATAAGGTGTGGCTGTAACTTGAGAAGCTGTATATTACTAATATATTTATTATTATGTTATTAATAGGAAAAGCTGTGTACTTTCCCATATCTAAAGAATCTTTGGTTCTCATGCAGATATTGACACCAGGCGCAGAGCAGCTTGTGATCTAGTCAGAGGCTTGTGCAAATTTTTTGAAGGGCCTGTGACGGGGATTTTTTCTGGATATGTTAATTCTATGCTGCAAGAATATGCAAAGAATCCATCTGTTAACTGGAAGCACAAAGATGCAGCTATTTACCTTGTTACGTCTTTGGCATCCAAAGCTCAAACACAGAAGGTACTTTCACATTCTACTCATTTTAATCTATTTACATTCAAATATTACAGTGTATATAAGGATTGAAGCAATTCATCTTATGCTGCTTCAGAATGAGGGTAACTGTATTTGTAGTAGTTTAATGATGATGAGGTTAAAAGTTGTCCACTATATAATCCTATCAGAGCTGTTAATTTGGTGGTATCTGGTCTTCAAATAGATTGGACAAAGTTAACAACCGTGTGTGACCTTTTGGCACATCTTATTAGTATGTGTGAAGCAGCCATAAAAAGAAACGAAATTGGCTTGGGTCTAGAACCTCTGAGCTTTTAAATGGTACTGAGCCAGAATTTATAAGCTATGGAAGGCCAAATTTAGCTTTACAGAAGAAGATCAGAAGTGTTAAGCAGACTAGAAGGAATCTGAGTGACTCTTACAGTTCTTTTCATTATTTCACAATTTTTCCTGTTATTCGAGTGTTTATGATTTGGAAATGGCACGTGAATGCTAATGATCTCATTACTTGTTTGGGAGAAAGCAACTATTAGGCTGGATACATTGAAAAGCCACACCTGAGCCAAACTGTATTTGGAAACAGTAGCATTGTATCAGTTGTCCTACAGAACAGATTGTAATATACTAATAAATATTTTAAATGTTATTACAGTTCAGATCTCAGTGGCTTTACAAGACAGATTTGAGGGAAACGTAGTAAAACATGTACAGTATCTTTATGCAATTTTGCTGAAGGTTCTTAGTCTTTTCCTGAAACTAGCTGTATACTACTGCACAGCAATTGCTAATGATAGTGATGCGTGATCTGAACCAGTCTTCTAGCAATTAGAAAACAGCTAAGTTGCACATCTTTCTTTTATGGTATTTATGGCAAATATGGGATAACATCACTTAGAACACTTGATAAATACCCATCTGAAAAGCCTGTTTTAAAAATTAGTTGCATTTTTCATAAGTAGTGATCATTTTGCTGCACCAAGACAGAATTGGCGTTTGAGTCCTAAACTTTTCCTTTTTAAAAGGCCTATCTCAAAAAAGTATCAAGTTAGTAAGCTGATATTTTCTGTCTAAAATTTTGGTTGATTATTACTGTGTTACTGCTATTATTCCTCAACTTGGAGCTAGTAACTTGGAACCTCAATAGTGCTACAGCTGAAACGTAGGCACTAAAAACATAAAGAAAAAGAAATTGGATGGCTTTCTGCTAAAGATGCAGTTTCAAAAATCCCATCACATGCATGCACACTTTAGATTTCTTTTATTAAAAATACATAAAAATGAGTGAGAAAACTAGGTGAATGTCAGCATCTAAAACCAGAGTTGGTTTGTTGTTTTGTGTTTTTTTTCTAGCATGGAATAACACAAGCCAATGAACTTGTTAATCTGACAGAATTCTTTGTGAATCACATTCAACCTGATTTAAAGTCTGCTAGTGGTAAGTTGACTGTTAATTTTGAGGTGGCATTTTTTGTGATATATTTACAACCTGACAGTGACCATTGTTTCTTAAGGCTCAAGCACTTATATATCAGCTTAATTTCTGATACAGAAGACTCAACACCTGGTGCACAGGAAGTAATTCCATTTGGCTGGCAATGAATGAGCTTTTAAACAAAGGTGGATTACCATATGCTCTCTGCAAGATCAGAGCACGTACATACATGGTTGCCATGGGCTACGTGCTTAAATGTGTTGAATCAAAGAAAGTTGATTTCTGTATTTGAGACCTTATGGCAAAAACCTCTGATATACAAAACCCTGAGAAGTTAAAATACTGAAGGCGAGGTCACAGCCTGTATCAGCCCATATTTTGAGATTGCAGATGTCTAGATTTAAGCCACGCAATTCATTTTATGCTTCAGCAGTTATCTTATGAAATTTGTAACATAGTGGGTTGTCTTGGATTAGAAGTTGGAGGCTGTTAAAATCAGAGCCAGACAGGGAAATTTCATGTGAAAGAGTTGGACTGTACATTTAATGGTATTGGGATGTGATTTGTACTTAAAACTGAGATCCTATCTAAGAGTACCCATACAGAAATGCAGAAACTAAGCAACGTAGAAAAACATTGTGTGTATTATTTTTGAGGGGAAAAAACATGACTTAATGTCACCTCTATATATAGTATATGTTCAGTAATCACATTTATATGAGAAGTATCAACAAAATTTGCATATTTTTCTATTGCAGTGAATGAATTCCCTGTGCTAAAAGCAGATGGTATCAAATATATCATGATTTTTAGAAACCAAGTAAGTTTTTCTTTTACTCTTATGGTAAAAGCATATTGTACTTTTGTTACTCTATACTTGCCAAGCCTAATTTATCTTACTTGGCCATATGTTAACTCAACAGGTGTTTGATAGTCATATATAACACCTCATGCTGAATTTTTAGTTTTGAAATTAAATGATATTGTTATAAATAGCCAATTAACATGTCTATATGCTATCCATATGCTATGGGAGCAGTGAACATCTTAGCATGCTTAGGTCTGTGACACACTCAGACTCTTTCAACTGAGTGTTAGTCTAAATATACTTGACTGCTCGTATCATTGCAGTAGTTGTTAGAATACAGCAACTTTGTCCTTTACCTTTTCTGATTTGCGAGATGCAATAAGAAAATATATTACTTTTATTAATCTCTTAGGAAATAGCTGATTTTTTTTTTTTAAGCTTGATTTTTTTTAATTGCCTGTTAGGACAAAGTAACATGGGAAAAGAAAAATACATTAGAAACATACACCCTTACAATCAAATGTAACATTGATATTTGGGGGAAGGTATGCGGGCGATGACAGAAGTAGGTACCTCTTGGTTGTCAAGGTGTAATTTAGCAAATGAAGGAGCCTTCTAAGATTTCTTCCTCTGCCAAGCTTTCAGTTTGTAGCTGATGAGCTCAGAATGGTTATGCTCTAGTGTTGAACCATCTGTATTTTTATGTAACATATGTATAATTTGTTGCTATATTTTTGTAGGTACCTAAAGAGCAACTGTTGGTATCTGTTCCTCTCTTAATCAATCATCTTCAAGCAGAAAGTATTGTGGTCCATACTTATGCAGCCCATGCTCTTGAAAGACTGTTTACCATGAGGGGTCCAAATAATACTACCCTGTAAGTTTCCAAGCAGAAATAAATTCATTGCTACATAGGCTTTTGTCCATTAAGGATGAGAAACGTCTGTACGGGATCTTCTATTTCTTAGTATTACAGTATTGTAAAATGCTTGAAGTTTGTGAATATCTTTCATCACTAAAGAGCTGTGTTTTATTTAACAGCATTACAGCTGCAGAAATGGCACCCTTTGTAGAAGTGCTATTAACAAACCTTTTTAAAGCGTTGACGCTTCCTGGCTCATCTGAAAATGAATACATTATGAAAGGTAAATGCTTTATGAGTTCTCCAATATAAGAGTACCTTTGTTAACTTGAGGTGAAGGCTTCTAGCTACAGGCTACTGAAATGTTTATTGAAAAAGCTAATTTATGCAAACATGCTAAAGTGGTATGTGCAGCCTGTAGTAATTTACCAGGCTGTGTTAAGTCATTTTTGACTGAATTTATGGTACCAAAGAGAAACACTAAACATAATAGTATCGTGACAAATTATTTCTCAAATGGTAGTCTTTGTAGTCAGGACAGCTACCTGAGCAGGGTCAGTAGAAGATCTTGAGTGGGTTATGGCTAATAGTATGCCAAGATTTGAGACTTGCCGAAGATAAATGATGGTCTTTGCAAAGTTGCTTAGTCTTCTGTGGCCCATCTATAGAATGGGGATAACGAGGCTTTGCTTTATCCTTTGTCATCATTGTAGATTGATTGCTCTTGCAGCAGGTGCTCCTTCTTACTATACCTAATTCCCTGGGATCCGATTTAATAGTAAAAGGTAAAGGATTTAGGCATATGATGGATGATAGAAGTGTATGTCTGTCTCCAAAAGATAATACTTTCAACTTACTTGCAGCCATCATGAGGAGTTTTTCTCTGCTACAAGAATCCATAATTCCATACATCCCTTCTGTCATCACACAGCTTACACAGAAACTTCTGGCTGTCAGTAAGGTAAGGTAAACAGGCTGTCTGAGTGACATGCTCACTTTTTACCTTTTAGAGCAGTAGCAGTCTTTCTAAAGACTTATGTATACCTTGTTGTTCATGATCTATTAGAATACTGTAAATTGTTCAATATTTTCTGACAAAAATAAGTAAAAACAGCCTTACAGTGAAGTACTGTCTTTGTTTTAGGACATACTTTCAAATCGTTCTCCCCTGAAATTTGGAAACGATGTATGAAATCTTTTTGCAATGCTAGTTTGTTATAGTACATTTGTTTGTGCAGAGGCCACCATTACAATGATCTGTTTTTCTCACAACTCCTTTTTCTTTGCTCATGAAGCTTCTGAGGCTAATATAAAATTTAGGCACTGAAATGAAGGATTAAATTAAATGAAATAAATTACCCTCCTGCTTCTGGTGGGTAAAATTCTTAGTGTTTTGCTCAGGCTGGACTAATATTCTTGGATGTTGACATTAGGGAATGCTTTAGAATACGTTCATCAACTATCAAAGAAAACTTTTATTATGTATAGTTTAAACTTAGCTGCAGACTATAAGAAGTGGTCGATAAAGAATTGACTAGATACTTACATGACCAAAACACAATTTTTTTTCCAGTTTTTGTTTTGTGATACTTTTAACTGCTTCCTAGTTTATGTAGAGCTTCTGAAACACTTGTTGTCTTTTAAATATTTATAAAAAACACCCCTCCTTTCTGCTTTAAAGGTTTTTATGTTTGCTTTTATCTATGGAATTAATTTATTTAGTATATTAATAAGTAAGTATCCTTATTCCAAATTGCTACTGTAGACTTCAGTTGAAATAAAAAAATATATTTTGCTAAGTGACTTGGCTGCAAGTTTGGGTTGATTTATCTGTTTATAACTTGTTTTTAGAATCCAAGCAAACCTCACTTTAACCATTACATGTTTGAATCAATATGCTTGTCAATAAGGATAACATGCAAAGCAAACCCTGATGCAGTTGGAAGCTTTGAAGAGGCTTTGTTTATGGTGTTCACTGAGATACTACAGAATGATGTGCAAGGTAAATGAAAATCAGTAAGTGCTTGTGCTCTCTCTCTACTATAATTGGTTGTTATCATTTACCTCATGGCAGCTTTTCTGTAACACAGGAAATTCAAGTGAGAATGCAGCATGTTCGCAGTCCTAATAAACACTTTTAGGAAGCATCTGTGTTTTTCTATAGGGTACATCAACTGTGTTAACTTACTTTTAAAACAAACTGTAAAATACCTAACAATCACTACTCCAAAGCTTGTTGTTATTCTTAATTAATATTGCCTTGTTTTCTAGTAGTTTGTTTACCATATTCGGAACATTAACAAATAGACAAAGTAGAAGTTGTACATATGCAGTGCTTGCAGATTTTTGGAATAATTAAATTTAGGAAGCGATACATTTCTCCAAGCTTTTATTTGTTGGAATCTTTGTATTAATATCATACAATTGTAGGTTCAATCAGTAGATACGTGGTTCCTATGAATTGACTGTGACCATATTTGCTGAATTTCTAAATGTCATTGTTTCTTTTCCAGAGTTCATTCCTTATGTGTTTCAAGTGATGTCCCTACTTCTAGAAATGCATAAAAACGAAATTCCATCGTCCTACATGGCATTGTTTCCTCATCTACTTCAGCCAGTATTATGGGAAAGGACAGGAAACATTCCTCCTTTGGTCCGACTCCTGCAGGCTTATTTAGAACGGGGTGCCAATACGATAGCAAGTGCTGCTGCTGACAAAATTGTAAGTTTGATTGATTTAGTCACAGTGTGTGCCTCTAGACGCATTGATTTAAAATTAAAAATTATTTGGAACTTTAGTGAATAGATGGATTTGTGCAGAATTTGTGATTGTACTTTAATGCTGCTTACATAGACAAAAAATACTACAAATGCAGGCTGGGTGCTTTTCCATTATGTCAGTAAGAAATCCTAGACTGTCATGCTTTTGTCAATTAAGATGTAAAATTCCTGCCCTTAGTTTTTGTAAGCAGGTAAGTTTCCACAATTTTCCAATCTCGTTTGCCTCGTGTTGAACACTGTGGGTCAGGGAAACTCAGAGGTTCTGTTCAGAATAGTCTTCAGATGAGTGAGGAGAAGCCAAAATGTCAGGAGGTCTGAGGATTAGTGAATTCAGTGTGAGATTTATTCTGCATACTTAGCTTCTGTTATTTCTGCTGCATGATCTGCTATAGTCAGACTTGATTAGATAATACCATTGATGAAGCAGACATGCATGTTCAAATTGGCTTTGGTGTTTGTTTGATCAAGGTTAATCTTGATGTTCAAAGGAACATCACTTGATCCCGATAGAAATCTGTCTTCCTTGTCCTTAACTGCAGAAAGAGAGTTCTGGTTTAGGTTATGAAAGCTTTTGCCTTGGTGTATGCCTTAGATGGTAAGGGCAAACTTTCTGGTAGGTCACATATGAAGAACTGTTGTATAGAGTTTTATATTTGCTTTGCTTACAGCCTGGATTGTTGGGTGTGTTCCAGAAGTTGATTGCCTCTAAAGCTAACGACCATCAAGGATTCTATCTTCTAAACAGTATTATAGAGCATATGCCTCCGTGAGTATGAGTTGAAATTACATTCAAAACTAATTTCTGTAGACTTTAATATTTGGTATGTTTGTACACTTTTTAGTTAATGTTTAACAACCAAAAAATGTCACATTTATAAGTAAAATGGATTTGAACAGTTCTATAGATGTTTTCTGTGAAGTGACATTAGTAAAATCTTAGTATGGATAGAGTAACTGTTCTCTTTAAATTTCCAGTTAATTTAAGAACCAGTACAGGAAACAGATCTTCATTCTACTATTCCAAAGACTTCAAAATTCCAAAACAACAAAATTTATTAAAAGTAAGTTCCTTGCTATATAAAAAGCTTCAGCTCTGGTGATGTCAACAGTTTAGAACATGCAGCTGTACTGAATAAGTATCCTGTGATGTCCTGTGATTATGCAGATGAAGGGATACTAGTGACTGTTAACATCAATGACTTGCTTGAAATGATTTGTGTCATCAAGGGTGGTATATAGGGCAGTTGCTGCAGCAGATGACACTTATTTCATGAAAACTGAAGGAATGGGACTAAAATAGAGGAAAAGACTTGTGTATTCCTCTTACTTTGTTACTGTGTGGTATCATTAATTATCTGAAAGTGTCTCTATTGAAACTTCACTGGTATTAGTTGAGGATTAACTCTCACAGAACACAGTAATACTGGCCCCACTTTCTTTTGTTACATATAGTTGTGTTATTACTGTTAAATACTCTATGGATTTGTGTCATTCTGCTTAATATGGCTTAAGTTACTGATAAGGTTTTATGTTAAACTAGTAAAGCTGTGACAAGTTATTGAAATACAGCAGGA